AGGCTACATTAACATCAGTAACAAGCTAAAACGTTTGTTGCTATTTGCTCCCACATAAGTTTACCTTTTATTTAATGTAGATTACATTAACGGAGATGTAGTCTACTTTTTTGTTATAGAGATCAACGTTTGCTATCATGTGTTGTTTTTGCCTTGTTTCACGTTCACGCACTTCTTATAACTTACTGTGTTTACTCAGCTCTTACGGTGATTTTCTGAGGTAAAACTGACGCTTCATCTTTTGTGTGATGTACAATAAACTTTATTAAACTCATCAGTATGTGTTTGATCATCATTCGGATCTGGTCCGAAACAGCACACTTGTAGGCTATTAATAAATAATGGATACATACAAGCAGATGACAAATACGTTATAATAACCGTAATTAAACTGCTAAACTATACCTGTTCCATCTCTATACAGCACTCTGACTCTGTAGGCATTATTGTCCGACTCGAAATGAACGTTGTAAAGGATTCCTGTGTAAAATGTTTAGCGCAGACACCTAAAGTTGATAGGGTTGTTGGAACAGCGTCATTAAAAATTTATTTCATCCACTGGTTCCTGGTGGTTTGGTCCGTTTTTGGTAGAGAAAACACATTTGAATGTTGATTCTGGCAGTCAACCACAGAGCAACTCACGTGTGCACTACATTTCAGCATCTTTATTGACTGAATATGAGGGGGAGAGGGATAGCGTGGGCTTCCTGCAGCATACAGTATGTCTGCGGTGTCCATATATGGTATATCCTGCCCCGTCTTGACGTCAAGTCGGGGGAGAAATTAAAATCTCGTATTTGAGTGCGCGTGCACGTGGGCTGGTTTACGAACCCTGGGGTAAACAAACGCTTCAGTTTTGAATATCGGCTTCCCGGGCCAATGTATAATCGTTAGGCAACCATAACATACATTGATTCTCGTGGAAAAGTGAAAAATTGCAGGTTATGACTCCTTTAACAACATGACATCATGACTTTTGCGTAAACATACACGCCACTTTCGAGCCAAGTGGCGTGTTATCTCTACGCATTTTGAGCTATCCGCGTGTATCCGCGTGTTTGCGTGCTTGTCTACGCCATTAACGTCCGCGTCATTCCGCGTGTCTGTACACGCAGTCAAATCTCCAGTCATAAATGCCATTAACCCCAGTGATGGTTAAGTTTAGGGATGGGGTTGAGGTAAGTCATATCTTTTTTTTTTACCTAGGATGGTAAGGGAACAGTCATAAATGCCATTAATCCCAGTGACGGTTAAGTTTAGGGATGGGGTTGAGGTAAGTCATATCTTTTTCTTTCCTAGGATGGTAAGGGAACAGTCATAAATGCCTTTAACCCCAGTGACGGTTAGGTTTAGGGACGGGGTTGAGGCAAGTCATATATTTATATAACGTTACGTCAACAGCGTTCATAAACACGCTGAAAAGCGATTATGCTTCTTGATAGCACGCCAAAAATGGAAATACAAATTGGCGTGTCATACACACGCTACTTCATGAGATCAGTCTGCCTTTAAGGTCTTGAGAAAGATATTTTATATAATGCTATATAAGAGTGTTGTGTTGATTTGTAGAACGAAGGAGGACAGGAATTTAAATCTTCCCTTTTTTAAATTGACTGATAAGGATCTTGCTGTGTGTGCGAAAGTGAAATATCTAGGTCATTTTATAACTGAGCACATGACAGATGATGAGGACATTGAACGGCAATGTCGCATATTGAATATGCAGGCTAATATAATTTTGCGTAAGTTTGGTTCTTGTTCAGATAAAGTTAAGACATCACTGTTTAAAGCATACTACACCACTTTATACTGCCCAGTTGCGGACAAGTTATAAAAAATCTACTTTACAGAGGCTTCAAGTAGCTTACAATGATGCAAAGAATTTTATTAAGGAGACCTAGATGGCATAGTGCGAGTGAAGGGTTTGTAACTTAGGGTTAGTGGGAGATAACACATTTAAAGCTGTGTTACGGAATCTTATAGATTTGTCTGCCGACTTATTGCTTGTAAAAATTAGATAATCATGGGCCTATCAAATATAAGGTTTAACACTACACGTTATCAGTGTAAGTTGTGGAAACACTGGTACTTTGGTATTTTTGTAATGTATTGGTGTATATATATATTAGGGCTGGGTATTGAGACAAATTTCACAATTCGATTCGATTTTGATTCACAAGCTTTCAATTCGATTCGATTACGATTCGATTCGATATCGATTATTTTGGATATCAGTTACAATAAATGGCAATTTTTCTCAAGGGAATTAAATCTCTTAACTAATGCTGTAAACTATGGGAGACTAGTTGTAGCCTACTAGGCTTCATTAGCCTAATATGAAGGTAATAATGAATGAATCACTTAAATTACACTTTTATTATTTTTATAATAAGAAGATTATATGAAATATAAACATTTAAATGGTGGCTGTCATAAAAACTTGCCAGATTTATTCAAATATGAAGGTAATAATGAATGAATCACTTAAATTACACTTTTATTTATTTTTATAATAAGAAGATTATATGAAATGTAAACATTTAAATGGTGGCTGTCATAAAAACTTGCTAGATTTATTCAAATATGCATTAAATATTGAAGAACATTAAGATTATACTGCATATGTAATATAGTGTATATATTTAGCAAAATGCTCGTCTCTGGAGTCATTTTTTTCTATCAGACTAACGAGTTGATGTGGGTCTTCTGAGGTAAATATGACGATACATGACAAGACATTGATTACAAGCTGTTTAACTGACGTCTTTCCACGGTTGAAACGCTGATTGAGCGAATCAATGTGACATGATACGGATTTCGATAAGTTGTACTCTATCTTTTAACACACTTTCAGATGCTCATTCATGTTTATTTCGCACTGTGACTGGTTTATTAAGCCGGAAGAGAGATCAGCGCTGCTGCTTCTCTTGAGCTGTGCCAGAGCAATCTCACGCCACAGCGCCACAACGCTATTTATGTTTTTGAATTTCTAAAGAAAATGGACGTAATTTGAAAATTGAGACTTTGTTTCATATTAATAGTAACAAAGGACAAAGATTATTGCGATTTTTTGAATGCGCGCAGCCGCGATAAAATGTTCCATTCATTCAAATGAAACAGGATGACTAATCGATTCTTGAGACTTAAGAATCGATATCGGTTCGTAAAAATGAGCATCGATTAATATCGAGAAATCGATATTTATTACCCAGCCCTAATATATATCAGGGCTCCAGACTAACTTTTTTTACTAGGAGCGCTGTTGCCCCTGACTGAAAATTTTAGGAGCGCAAGCAAAAAATTTAGGGGCACGCCTTAAATAAGCTCGCAATGCAATTATTCAAATTTCCCACAAAATAACTGCAATACTGACATTCTTTAATAATAAATAGACTTAACATTATGATATGCTGTTTTATTTTAACTTCACAGGGCTCCAGACCCAAAGTTGAGGGCAGCATCACCTCAAATGAGAACTCACAGTTCTATAAAAAAAAAAAAAAAAAAAAAAAAAAAAAAAATCTGGTAGCACTGGGGCTAACAATAAATCACTAAGCTTAATTTAGGGTGTAGGTGTAGATGAAATTAACTTTAGTTTTTATCATTTATAATGTCTTCATATTAATTAATAAAAGTAGTGAAAATATGTATATGGAGTGAAAATAGCCAATAAACATCCTACTGTTTACAATGGTATTAATATTATTATTTTAGGTGTTTAAATAAGAGTTTTCCAACATCTTAAAATGTTTCGTTTAAGGACAATCTTTAAAGGATGAACAAAAAATGTGTTTGTATGGTAATCACATAAAAAATACAAAAAAATAAAACATTTATATATGATATTATTGAAGTGCTGGGAAAGGATGTGTAGTAGGCTACTTACACATTATCATATTTATGGTAAGAGTTAACTTGCCTAAATTCATGGTTCTGTTAGGCTGATTTGTGGACTGAAAGCCTTCTATAAGTGTTTTTCCTGATTTCCACGTCAGCGCTGTTTGATTTGATATGGTATTTAACAGAACTCTGCGCCGAATCGGAGTGTTTCTCACTGGATCTCGTGGTGTTGATGTTATTAATTCTGAGGCGAATTCAATGGATGTCTTCACTGGCTCTCCTAGTAACAGTGTTGCGTGAGCGAGATCGGCCCGCGACTGGCAAGTTCGGGGCTTTATTTTGTCAATGGTTCGGATCGCTGCTGCAGCTCCACGGTCCTAATCATACATGAGTGGCGTATTTTCGTTCCACATTCATTTTGTTTGCATTCGTTGCTAGGTAACGACTAAAGAGTCGATAGATCGCTGATTGCTCAGACGCACATCAGTTTGTGATATTTGTTTCCGTCTCCTTCCCACAAACGTTTACGCGCGCTATTCTTGTCACGGATTCATTGACGCGCCTCTTCCACGCTTTACCATGCGTTTAACGTGTGGCAAATTTACTGGTCGCACATGTGCGACTGGATGTAAAATTCAGTCGCACACTCTCAATTTTTGGTCGCAAAATGCGACCATTTGGTCGCAGTCTGGAGCCCTGTATATATATATATTTTTTTTGTTTATGTATTTAAAAACTGGACCCTGCATGTAATAAAGGTTTGATTGAATAAAACAGCCGTCATTGAATTCATTTTCTGAGTAAGCTGATTGACAGAAGCTGTGTACAAGGTCACCATGAGAATGGCAATAAAAGCTTTTAGCAAATACATTCTTTCTACTAAGAAATTACATTAGAGGTAACAGTTCTCAAACTGTACATTTAAAGTACACATTTCAAGTATGGCTCTGTTTATCTGTCTACTACTGTATCTGTAGGATGTTTTTGTGAAATACTGACACTTTTGAGGTTTGTTCTTAGAGCTTTTCAGAGGGAAGAGTTTGGCAACACTGTTGATCAGCTAAACCTCAGCTAAACCACATTTCGTGTCTTACCACACAGACAAACTTAAGAAAGTATGAACAGGCAGTTATGTTTAGAAATACGGCAGACGCACGTACCATTTGTGCAGCCAGCGTGCTGGAAAACTCACTGTTCATGGCGTAGGGCAGCGCGGTCTGAGCTCGCGAGCCGTAGGTGGTCTGAAATCTCTTCTTCACCTCATTGAGGAAGCCGAACGCACGGGAGCGCTCAAACTCCTGCAAGAGAGACGTACAGCTCAGTATATGAGCGGAGCCGCAGAGAAACGGAGCTCACGAGGCAGGCACTTACATCATCAGTGATGCACAGATAGATGATCCTCTCGTGGCAGATGTAGTGGAAGAGATAGCTGGGAAACAACAGAAGCGCATCAGAACATCAGAACTGACAAACGTCACCGAACATTAGCCGAACAGCACAATGTCAGTCGTACCTGCCGTGAGAATACGTGAGCTTGTTGTTTTCCGATGGGATCTTGGCCAGAATCTGTTCCGTCACCTCCAGAAAGTTGCCAGAGAAGCACGCATGTTTAGCCAAAACGGTCGATCCTCGAGCCACCACCGCAAACAGGATAGCCATCACCGCAAATAAACCTGATCAAACACTGAACGGTTCACAAACAAACACATGTGAGACAACTCACACGAGATTAGAAAAGGCATTTCTGAGAGTGCTTCTGTTTCAATACTACACATTTAATCAATGTTTACACTTTATAATACGGTATACCTCTTTATATAGGAAGTGTGAGCATCAAAGAACCAATAACAAACAAGCCCATTATCCCAGTGGGAATTTTTGGTCACCACCTGTCAAGTGCTGTGCCCACTCAGTCTGAAGAGAAACGTGGATTTTGAATGCAAATTTCCTTTAAAAAATTCTTGTAGGTTAAATTAAATATGATCATTACTGTAAATTTGTGGCCTTTGGGTGAAAAATCATTATTTTGAATCCATGGTGGCTGATGGCAACAAAATGTTTGTCACCACAAGACTACTTACCAAATAATTGTATCATTTTGGGAGATACTTTTTATACATCCACTTAAATGTCAAATTTATGTGTAAATGTCCAATTGTGCTCGGCCAGTCACATGCTTAAGTACAGCAGTGTTGAGAGGTGGAATAGAAAACTGATGGTTCAAATCTTCATGTAAGACATATAATACATGGAACACTAAATTCATGCAGGACTTGACAATCATATTTGGGAGTTTGATATTCTAAATCATGAATACTGAATGAAAATTACAGAGAAAATAGACAAATAAAACATTATGCCAAACATTATGCCATCTTTGTCTTTTCCCATCTGTGTTTACATAGAATCACATTTTACTGTTCAAGCTTGTCTTCGTGATGGAAAGTCTAGTTATTCTGAATGTGTTCTGACATTTGCTTGCAGTAGTGCAGTAACGTATATGAATTCATTAGAGAACATTACAGTGCGATTTCATTTTGTTACATTAACGTGTAACATTTGCCTTCGTGAGCTTTTAGTTTATCGGACTTAAAATCGATCGGTCATAGTTAATGATATGCATGTGTAAATTTCAAATGTCATATGTGAAAAAGTGTTTTGTTTTTTGTTGTTTTTTTTTTTTTCAGCTAAAGTTAGTAACCGAACTACAGTGAGAGCTGCCGTCAATCATCGGGCTAAATATTAGGAAATCAAAACGATGAGAAATCATAGAGTATCATTTCCAGCATGAGATTAGTCAGATAAGAAATGACTGTGAATTAGATTAAATTATCTAATGACATGATGATCAACCAATCGATCATCTTTTGTGTAACATTAAGTTAACGTTACCTGGTATTCTGATGATCTAACAGCCGCTCGCGCTCCGCTCTTTGATGTCTTTAAAAGGAAGTGGCCATAAACAGAACTTTCATTGCCTGACAAACATGGTTGAAATCATAAACATGATACTATTAAAAATAACAGCAGTCAACGTAAATACAGATATGAACCAACGTCACTGTTTTCCGTGAAACGTCACAATCGTGCGACCATGAAAAGATTTCCGCCTTGCGTCAGACACGCGCGACAGGGTTCTTTAAAGGAATAGCTCACCCAAAAATAAAAATTCTGTCATCATGTACTCAAACTCAAGTAGTTTCAAACCTGTATTTCTGATGAATACAAAAGAAGATAATTTGAAGAATGTCTTTAACCAAACAGTTAATGGTCCCAAATGACTAACATTTTTTGCAAGCTTACTGTAGGGTGACCATATTTTGATTACCAAACACTCGGGCCAGCAAACAGATAATCAAATGATACTCGGATTTTACTCAAAGATGCCTTATTAATACATGTATCAAACAGGAGCACTGGAATCTCAGCTTGATGACAATAAAAGGATTGTTTCCCCAAAAAAGACAATTATGTCATTAACTTCCATCATTTTCATTTTTAAAAATGTTGATAAACAATTCGATGACATGTTATGAATTAAACAGCTCATAAAACTTCATCAGAAAAAAAAAATTAATAGGCTAACCCACTAAACATGAAAGTATTATGCAATCATGTCGGACAATTCTCCTCTTGGCATAAATGGTTATTTAAAGGGATACTCCACCATTTTTTCCCCATGTTATTCCCTTAACTAAAACAAGTTGTTACACACCTCTCTCGTCTCATTGCGTGCAGTCAATCGCGAGACACTCTGATCGCACTTAACTAGCCCAGTTCATTCAATAGGCTATGGGCCAAGCAGAGAAGCGACCAAACACCTCCACGTTTTCCATATTTAAATACAGTTACTCGAGCAGTGTAACTCGACCTAGGACGGTGACACAAGATAAAATGTTGCGTTTTTCTAATCGTGTAAAATGGATAACTATATTGTATGGCGGAATACCACAGCAAGTGCTTGGGAGCACTTCGACTCTCGGCGCAGTAATATCATCACTTGTGAAAAGTCCTCTCCCCCCTCTCACTCTCCGGAGTGATGATATTACTGTGCCGAGTCCATAGATGTATGCTCTGAGTTGAAGTGCTCCCAAGTACTTGCTCGACTCGTCTTAGCTAAGGAAATAACATAGTTTCATATGTGAAAACGGTGGAGTATCCCTTTAAAAGTGAGTCAAGAACTTGAAGGTTCCACATTTTCTCCTAGAATGTAGCCACCTTATATTATTTACTCATTGTGGATTTTATTTTTACACACTATAGTTTAACTATTCAACAAGTAATGAGTGTTTGAAGAGATCAGTCATGACAGTTGTGAGGACCAATGCTGTTTGACATCATTAATGACAAAGCTGGTGTGCCTGTGTTTGAATGTTATGGGTGGATGATATCAAAGGCAATATCACTGTAATAACAATAATGATTGATTTACAATATTTTATTCATGTGCACATTTTTTGTGCTTTCTAATTGGTGATTAAAGACATTTCACATTTATATTAGCAAGCAATCATTATGAATAAGTAAAAGCAAAGAAGGAGGACAGGAGTGCCCTATGCTTTGGGGGCAAAAGCTCTGGCTTTTTTGCGAATTGTACCGACTAGGGCCGACATCTTCATCTTTAGAAGCTCCTCCACCAGTCCATAGGAGGTGAAAAAATTGTCGCAGGTCACAGTGTTCCCCCTAGGAGCCCCTCCGTCATTTCCAGACTGACGCTATTTCCTTGGTTCACCTCCCCAGGACTTCCAGGAGACTTCCCCGTGTATATTTGCAACTTCCATGCATAGTATGTGGTGACGTCACAGGTGATCCCAATCTTTATGCCATACTTGGCAGGCTTCTGGGTATGTACTGGCGAAATCCGCATCTGCCTTTGAAAGGGACGAGCTGCTCATGGGTTTGAGCTGCCTGACCTGGGTTTGAACAGCAGGGGAAGGCGATGTGTCCACTTCTCCCAAACGGTCCGAAATGCAGCTAGCTTGTCGTGCTTGTAACGTGCAGGTCGTGTCATCCTGTCATTGAACCTCAGGGTTGAACTTAGAAGGTTGAATTTACGGTGGGACATAGTGGTTCGGAAAATGGAACGTTCGTTTTCCACATCCCACAGGCTTCTTGTCGATTCATTTCGGGACATGTACACGCCGGCCAGAATCAGCAGCCCGATCTATGCCTTAGTGTCTGTGGAATTGAAATCAATCCAATCTGTCACAAAACACCTCCCCTGTAAATTGGTGTTCTCCAGAAGAATCTGAATGATTTCTTTGGTGATGAAGTGCAAAGTTGTGATGCGGGCATATTGTGTGGGACAGTTTTGTAGTGCTGTGCCTCAGTGTGAGTGGAAGACCAGAGAATCTGCCCATTTTTTCAATTCCACTGAGGATCTGCTGTCTTTTCTGTGTTCTCCCTCTCAGTGCTGGCATCAAAGAAACAAGAGCTATCAGAGTCAGACTCCAATGCAAACTCGACTTTATCCTCTGAAGTCAACTCTTCATCCTCACTTTCATGTGTATCTGGGTGCTCACTGTTGGTGGGCACAACCAGCTCCAGAGCTTACCTTGCTATGAAATGTCTCTTCATCTTGCAAACTATGAAATGACAAGGTCCTCAAGCACATATTTATAGGTTTGGCTGTGAGAGCACAACTAAAATCTACCAGACAAAACAATCATTTTCTCGTGTTGAAAACAATAACTAGGTGTTGAGGGGCTTCTGAACATCTAAATCAAGCTCACCTTTTATCTTTGTATAAAAGAAACAACAACTGAAAATGTGCAAACAAGTAAAAAGAAATGTTTTTAAATAAAAATTATTCATAAACTCAGTAACTTTTTGACCTTATTCAGTTTTCAAATGGCAGGGTCTGTGACTGCCAAGGATATGACCCAGACAGCAAACTGACATTGAATCAACGTGGAAACTACGTCTCTCATGACATTGAAACAACGTTGATTTTACTCATCGAATTAACGTTGAACCAACGTCAGACGCGGCATTCTTCAAAGCTAAATGAAAATTGAAAATTGGTTTGCTTTCATAACGTTGAAACAATGCGTTGATTTCAAGTTGATTTTCCGTTAGTTTTGAAAGAATGACGCGTCTGACGTTGGTTCAACGTTAATTCGATGAGCAAAACAATGTCAGATCAACGTTGTTTCGATGTCATATTTCCACTAGTGATGGCCGGTTCGTGAACGAATCGTTCTTTTGAACCGGTTCTTTTTAGTGAACCGGTCGAACCAGTACACTAAATCGGACTGAATCGTTCGAAACAGTTCGCGTCTTGCGTCAGCGCTGAACCACAAGTTACTAAAGTTACTCACTTTCAGACATGCCTGACAGTCCCTCCGAATCGAAATAAACCAATATCCATTAGTACATTTTATTCAGTAACTCAAAAAGTTCAATGAACGGAGACATATGTTGGTGCTGAGAGAAGTGATGAGCACGAGCAGCTGATACTGCGCATGCGTGTACTACCGAACATACAGGTACAGCGGTCGGATACCCAGTACAGAACCGAGAACTGTTTCTTTCGGACACGTTCGACATATTGAGAACTGATGAGTTGATGAGCTGAGCATGCGTGCATTTTTTTCTGAGGCACGAAATGTACGTTTCCATCCCAGATAGAAAACTGACATTGAATCAACGTAGAAACGACGTCTCTCATGACATTGAAACAACGTTGATTTTGCTCATCGAATTAACGTTGAACCAACGTCAGACGCGGCATTCTTCAAAGCTAAATGAAAATCGAAAATTGGTTTCCTTTCATAACGTTGAAACAACGTGTTGATTTAAAGTTGATTTTCCGTTAGTTTTGAAAGAATGACGCGTCTGACGTTGGTTCAACGTTAATTCGATGAGCAAAACAATGTCAGATCAACGTTGTTTCGATGTCATATTTCCACGTTGATTCAATGTCAGTTTGCTATCTGGGATAGTTTTTGACGCGGCGCGTCAAGCCAAAAAAAAAACGAACCCGAGGAGTTTTTTTTTTTTTAAATTACGTGTGTCTTTTACGTGTGTCGTTTTTCGCGACGGTGTGCACACTCACATTGGCGCCCATTGTTTAGTCACGAGGCGTTAAACGTAGGCGAATATCGCATGCGAAATATCGGTGTGAACAGGCCTTAAGCGTGAGCGCTCGTGAGCGAGCACCAGACTTAAATTTGCACAGTGGGCGCGACCGTGAGACAGTGTTCAGTGAGTAGGCGTGGGCATGGGGACGCGGGCACATATTCTACATCTAACACTCGAGCGGCTTTCGCCAGCTTTATGAGATTGGTCTCTGTGAGGGACACGGGTGGTATAGTGCTTGTGTGTAGGGGTGAACACTGGGATGTGGCACATTTGTAGTTGGTATTTGTATTGGTCTCTGTGTATTTGGACTTGTAGTTGGTAATGTTCCTCAGGCCTTTCCAGACTGATTTTTTGTGCTACAAAACAGTTGAAGGTGCTACATCAAGTAGGCTAAGTGTTCCATGTTGCATTTTTCTTTTCTTCCTTGTACAGGTTTACTCCACTGGAACTAATAACGACTTTATTTCAATATAAAAATAACGAAAAAAATAATGATAAAAATAACGACTTTATTTCAACTATTCACTTCCTTCTCCATGAGCCTGTAAGTCAGTTAACGTAGTGTGATTGCGTAGAGCTACGTCACACGTAGGCTCACTATTGGCCGACGCTGGTCATGTGTGTGTGATGCGTGTGACGTACAATAACAGAAGCTTACGCTATTAAACTAGTAACCTGACTCGCGCAGAGGGAGAAATAAACGAATAGTTGAAATAAAGTCGTTATTTTTGTTGTTTTTTTTGCGCACAAAAGTGTTCTCGTCGTTTGATAAACTTAAGATTGAGCCCCTGTAGTCACTTGGACTATTTTAACGATGTCTTTAATGACTTTTCGAGGACAGCAAGAGCCAGTCCCTCAAGAAGCCTATGGACTGTATGCAGGAGCGATCTTAATATCTTAAATATCTTAATTTGTGTTCCGAAGATGAACGAAGGTCTTACGGGGTTGGAACAACATGAGGGTGAGTAAATACTGACAGAATTTTCATTTTTGGGTGAACTAACCCTTTAAGGCTTAATTATTTTTGTGAGATTCACACATACATCATGATGAATTATCTATATTCAAACAGGAGCACTAGTCTTTTGGGTGAACTATGCTTTTAAAGGATAGCTCACCCAAAAATTAAAATGCTATAATGAATTACTCACTCTCATGTCATTACAAACCCTTAAGTCTTTAGTTCATCAACACACACATCAGTTGTGGTCAACAGAAGCTTAAACCAATGAGGTTAATTCTCATGTTATGCAGCATGTTTGAACTTCTGTTTATGTTCACTGATCAATGTTTATATGTGAACAAAAGTGATCCTGTCTCTTCAGAAAAAGTTAACAAAACTGCTCAATTCATATGGATCACTTTTTAAAGTGTCAAAATAGTAGTTGTAGCTGTCAATGGAGGGACAGAAATCTCTCAAATTTCATTAAAAATATCTTAAATTTGTGTTCCTAAAGCCAAGTTTACACTACAGGATTTTAAGCCCGATTTAAGCCTGATTTGCAAATCGTTGAGCTCGCCGACAGGTCAGGGCGTTATCGCGTGCAAAACGCGGTGGATTAGCGGACGATGAACGCTTGCCAATCTGTTAGTATGAAAGAGCCAACAACGCAGCGAAGACGCTCGCAGATGCCTCGCAGACATGTCGCAGACCCCAGAAAAAATATCTAGCATGCTAGATATCCAGAGTCTCAACTTCAGTGATGTCATGAGCTACAGCCAATCATAGCAAGGCATGGGTTGAGGTCACCAGGTAAATCTTATTGTTTCTTTTTTTGCATTTTTTTCTCCGAGCAAATCATCGCGCAAACAGTGTGCAGCACTAGTTTTTGTCTGACGTCCATATTCGCATGTTTTGTTCTCTTCTTCGCTGGGTATTGGCGCACATGCTGTTTCGCGTCATTTCTGGTTTGTTTTATTGTGTGGTTTTTCATGACAAAACGTGATTTGTAGACAAGATAGAATCGTTGGGTGACAGAGTTGTTGTCAGCTCTTTCTGTATTATTTTCAGGATTTAGACCGTACCATAGTACTGAAACAGCTCTCATTGAGTCACAAATGATTTGCTCTTATCATCCGATCGTGGTTGTATCTCTACTATCTCTGTAGTGCGTTGTCAACTCGTGTAGTGCGTTACCTCCTGTTGTGGATAAATCATGGTGTGTTGTGTGGTGTGTGAACAGCTAAACAACTTGAAAACTCCTGATTTCACAGAGAGCAAGTCATGTAGTGTAAACCGCACAGTTCAGCCAAACGTTTTAAAATCATGTAGAGTGAACAAGGCTGAAGATAAACGAAAGTCTCAAAGATTTGGATCGACATGAGGGTGAGTAAATGACGGCATTTACATTTTTTGGCAAATTAACCCAAGTCATGAACACAAGTACAAATGCAGTTTGAGAATGTTGTTAAGCGCAAAGGCGCTCTCTCAGAAAAGGAATGAAGACTTGCGAAAGACATTACATACATACGGTCTTTATTGTACAGGAATGCTCTATCAAATTTTATCATCTGATGCTGCTGTTAAATATAAATCCAAGATATTGTATGTTTTTTATATTTGAAAATGCATTACTTGCATGATTTTAAAACACATTCTAAATCAAATACATTTTACAACTATTTTCATAAGTATAATTTTTTTTATTGGACATATATACTCTATTGCTATACACTTTGAAACTTTTTTTAGTACACTGGCACAAACAAATCTTCATGTACTCAAAAACTAAAAAAATAATCAGGATAAATCATATCAATATACAAATTCAAACATACAAATCCTTTTATTGTTTTTCTCACAAAAAAGAAAGGAACTGCAAGGAACATGTCTGACTGTCATTTTACTTCTATATTCTTCTGCAGATCAATGTCCGGCACTGTACAAAGTGTTGATCTTCATGCCATCGATTCTTCTTTATCCTTGAATGCTTTCATCCGTGTCTGTTTAGATCAGGTTCAGAGAGAAACACAACATTGTTTGAATCGTGTAATGACATATTGTGTTTACAAATGACTTGCCTGAGAACAGGCTCTTCACCAAGGGGGGAATTGGGGGGCATAAATAATTTAGCAGCAGTTTATGTTGGGATGTGAAGGTTGTGTGGTGACAAATTACTTAAAACTATTTCAAGAAAATCTATTTAAATAGCACATCTCCTTTGACTTTCACAGAAGTTGGTTCACCCTTCGGCTATAATCAGAAAATTCATATTTAATGCATTATTACACAAAACGGAACTAGAAACATAATTATAAATGACTAATCACTTGGAAACCTGCTGCCATCAACTATTTTAATGGAGAGTAGGCTTCACTCACAAGTTTTGTTACACATCAGTATGCTACAGATACATATTTTATACATTTTCTATTTGGTATGTATTGTACAGGGCTTAGGCCAGGGAAGTCACTGCTGTTACTACAGGACCACTGGGAAAATGTTCATGTACACATGGAAGGAAGGGACGCTGCAGAACCCACATGCTGCCCGAAGGGAGGTAACGTGGAAAATACACATATGAACTGAGCGGATGACCGGGCAGTACAACATATGGAATGTCACTCAGGTGGCACGAGTCTATGACAGACTCAAACGGACAGTAATAGCAGAGCAAGGTCTGTCGAGGGAAGTCACAGGCTCGTATGCACTGGTGCTCGCCGCAGGGGGACTTCACTTGGTCAAAACAATCACGTTTAAGCCACTGAATTAGTTTAGTCCGGTTATACATACAACCGCGAACAGCACGTTGTCTCTGAGCTCCGTAACGACATCTCTCATAAAGATTTGCGTCTTCAAATAGTAAAATAATTCTCCGAAAAACAGCTAGCCTCTTCGCTAACTAACACACAAAATACCATTGGAATGCTACTTCCGCCGCCTCACCGGAAGTTTCACTCACTTTATTTTTTACAGGAGCGCCCCTTAGAAACTTGTGGATAGATTTGCCTGCACTGACACCATTATGAGAGAACTGAACTAAGCTGGACGATGACATCTCTCTCTCTCTCTCTCTCACACACACACACCTAAAGGATTATTAGGATTATCACACACAACCATTTCTAGGGTTTACAAAGAATGGTGTGAATGTGAAAAGGGAAAAACATCCAGTATGTGGCAGTCCTGTGGGCGACAATGCCTTGTTGATGCTAGAGGTCAGAGGAACTAGAGTTGTTCCGATTCGCTGCCGATACCAATACAAATTCTGGCATCGGCAAGTACTTCTTCCCGCGTACCGATCCGATACCATTTTCTTAAACAATGACTAGTTATGCACGCTAGCTTTGCGTAATGCTGCAAATCGGAGATCAATTCTTCTTCGCTGCTCTAAACAGTGGTTGCTTGTGGCAACACAGTAAGTCATGCTGTTGCCACAAGCAACCACTGTTAAGAGCAGCGAAGAAAAAAAAGCATGTGCACATCCTGGCAGTATGACCGCAGTTTTTCAGACTGGACCAACCAGCTAGTACAGGAGTGCCCAACCAGTCGATCGCGGTCTACTGGTAGGATGCAGACTAATCCCAAGTCGACCGCGAGGGGTGTAGAAAAAAAATGATAAAAATAAAAGTTTTTTTTTTTTTGTGTGTGTGTGTTATATTTTGTACTAAATGTAAATTACAGCCTATATCATGAGTCCTTGCCAACACGTCCACAAAAAGTATTTTTAAAAAGAGAAAATAAAAAAAAAGCTCGCGTTTAAGGTCACGTTTAACCTAACGTTACTGTCGCGCGTGACATGCTTGACAGGAAGTTGACAGCTGTCAACAGTAGCTAGAAGCTAGCGAAACATTACCATGGCTGAGGGGAAACGAGCCAAGACCTACCATTTTCACCCTGAATGGGAGGAAGATTATTTTTTTGTTTATTCTCATTCAAAGCCTGTTTGTTTGATCTGCAATGCAACGGTGGCGTTGGCAAAGAAAGGAAATCTGGAGCGGCATTTTAAAACAGTACACGGGAGCTACGAGAGGGATTTCCCTGCAAAAACGCCTTTACGTGCCACAAAAGTGCGGGATTTGAAAGCACAACTTACAGCGCGGCAGTCAATCTTCACCAAACCGAAGACCCAGAGTAAGGCCGCAACTATTGCTTCCTATCGCGTCAGTCACGTCCTTGCTAAATACAAGAAGCCATTCAATGACGGCGATATGGTGAAAGAAGCCTTTCTCGAGGCAGCGGATAGCCTTTTTGACAACTTTAAAAATAAAACAGAGATCATGAAGGCCATTAAAGAAGTGCAACTCTCCCGCAATACTACATCAAGGCGATTTGAGAGAATGGCTGTGGATGTAGAGGAGCAACTGAAGAGGGATATTGACGCGTGTGAGTGCTTTTCCCTCCAATTTGACGAGTCGACTGATATGGTGGATGTGGCACAATTGTGTTTTCATCAGGATGGTTTTTGGAGACATGAGCACCAAGGAAGAGTTACTCACAATTTTGCCATTAAAAGGACATACCAGAGGTGAGGATATTTTTAATGCTTTTATGGGATTTGTTAGCGAGACAAAACTGCCACTCTTCAAGCTTATCTCCATCACAACTGATGGGGCGCCTGCTATGATGGGCCGCACCAATGGGTTCATTGCACGGTGCAAAGAAAGTGAATCTTTCCCGAATTTCCTGAATTATCACTGTATAATTCACCAGCAAGCGTTGTGTGGAAAAGTTTTAAATATGAAAGAAGTGATGGATATTGCGATGAAGATTGTGTGTTCAGTTCGGGCCAGGAGTCTGCAGAGAAGGCTTTTCCGTGCTCACTTGGAGGAAAATGATGCTGAGCACACAGACCTGCTGCTTCACACTGATGTTAGGTGGTTAAGCAGAGGTACATTTTTGGCCAGATTCACGGAGCTATTGCCTGAAATCAAGGACTTCCTGAAGCTTTCAAAACATGTGGATTACCATACAAAGCTAGAGGACCACCAGTGGCTTTTAGATTTATCTTTCCTCACTGATCTCACTGGCGAGCTCAATGCATTGAATTTAGAGCTGCAGGGTAAGGATAAAGATGTAGTCAACATGATGAGTTCAGTGAACACATTTAAAAGCAAGCTGCAGCTGATGTCAAGCAGGCTGCAGCGTGGTAACCTGCGCAACTTTCCTCACATGCAAGCCGAACTACAACGTCAAGGTAAAGGTGAGACACAGCTTGACAGTGCACGTTATGAGGAGCATGTTCAGAGCATCTCAGCAGAGTTCGAGAGGCGTTTTACTGATTTTGCATCCATTGAGCCTGTAGCCAGCTATATGTGTTATCCATTTGGTGCAAGTATTGATGTTGGTAACATTGCTTCCAAAATTAAATCACTTTTCGACTTGGAAAGCTCTGCTCTTGAGGATGAGATTCTGACATTGCAAAATGACATTGAAATCAAAGCCAGATCAACATCCGCTCAACCTGGAGAGCATGTAGTGTTCTGGAATCTGCTGGTGGAGGAGAGGTATCCCAATCTCAGAAGATGTGCCTTGAACTTGACAGCTCTTTTTGGATCAACTTATTTGTGCGAGTCTGCTTTCTCGCACATGAAAATCATCAAGTCCAAGTACAGATCAACAATGACTGATGACCACCTTGCAGCCTGCCTACGCCTTGCAACCAGCTCCTACACTCCTGACTACGAGAAGCTATCCTCCTCCTCCCAGTGCCAGGTCTCCCACTAAGGTAGAAAATGATTTCCTTTTTTCAAACTCAGAGATCTACCTGTTTTGTATCTGGTTAATCTTCTGTGTTTGGTTCATATTAAGGTCAGTTATGACTATTGCTCATCATGCAGATTGGCGTGTGTGTGTGTGTGTGAGAGAGAGAGAGAGAGAGGAGCAGAGAGAGCGGGTTTGTACTATAGTGCACTATGCAAACTGGCAACTGTGTGAGAGGAATTTGTCTGTGTGTGTGTTTGAGAGAGGGAGGGTTTGTGTTGTGATGTCTAGTAGTTGTGTGACAACAAGAAATAGTGTTGTGAGGTTCGTTACTGCAGGCTGGAAACGATGTGTGTGGGTTTGCAATGTTGACACTTGACTGGTAGATCTCGGGAGGATGGCTACTTGAAAAGTAGATCTTAGGTTAAAAAAGGTTGGGCACCCCTGAGCTAGTAAAACCGCAAAATGTCTCATACGCCATACTGCAATTTCGAGAAGTGGAACAAGAATTAGCAACTTCAGCACGAGTAACTTATGCATTTGAAATGTGTATTATATTCAAGTTTATTATTCTGGATGACCAGTTACTGTCAAAACTGAAATGCTGTTTATTTAACAAAATTGTTTATGGACCTTAAATTATGAAGAGATTATTTTCTTATATATATATATATATATATATTAGATTCCTAGATTTATCTATTGCATTTTTTATACAGTTATATTGTAAATCTAAAATACCCTTTTCAGTTTACAGTATTAGATGTGTGGTTGCATTTTAAATTCTTTTTCACTTAAGGAAGATAAATAATATATTGCTGTGAAATGTCAGTCAGATTCATGTTAAATTGGGATAAGTCTGAAGCACACCATAAAATAATCTATCAATTCATACAGTGCTAGTATGAATTGCAGCTGTATAGATACTGTACGCAGACTAAGCACCCAGGTATCGGACCAGTAATCAGTATCGGCCGATACCCTGGGACCAGGTATCGGAATCGGGAAGGGAAAAAGGGTATTGGAACATCTCTAGTTACAAACGATGTTTGCAGCAAAGCATTTGTGAAGCCACAACATGCACAACCATGAGACGGGTGGGCTACAACAGCAGAAGACCCCACCAGGTACCACTCATCTGCACTACAAATAGGAAAAAAGAGGCTAAAATTTGCAACAGCTCGCCAAAATTGGACAGTTGAAGACTGTAAAAATGTTGCCTGGTCTGATGAGTCTCAATTTCTGTAGAGAAATTCAGATGGTAGAGTCAGAATTTGGCGTAAAAATGAGAACATGGATCCATCATACCTTGTTACCACTGTGCAGGCTGGTGGTGGTGGTGTAATGGTGTGGGAGATGTTTTCTTGGCACACTTTAGGCCCCTTAGTGCCAATTGGGCATTGTTTAAATGCCACGGCCTACCTGAGCATTGTTTCTGACCATGTCCATCCCTTTATGGCCACCATGTACTGATGGCTACTTCCAGCAGGATAATGCACCATGTCACAAAGCTCGAATCATTTCAAATTGGTTTCTTGAACATGACAATGAGTTGACTGTACTAAAATGGCCCCTACAGTCACCAGATCTCAACCCAATAGAGCATCTTTGGGATGTGGTGGAACGGGAGCTTCATGCACTGGATGTGCATCCCACAAATCTCCATCAACTGCAAGATGCTATTCTATCACTATGGGCCAACATTTCTAACGAATGCTTTCAACACCTTGTTAAATCAATGCCACGTAGAATTAAGGCAGTTCTGAAGATGAAAGGGTGACAAACAGTATTAGGATGGTGTTCCTAATAATGCTTTAGGTGAGTGTATAGGCATAATGCAAAAGGTTTGGTGTAGTTCGTAGGATGGACTATCTCTGTTTTTTGGTGTTAACATAGAACTATATTTATTTATTATATTTATAATACAGGATTTTATTGTTTTGGTGGTTTGGTAATTGTTTTCTCAGATGATAAAAATGTTCCTTCATGAAATACATGTCATACTGTCGCTCGAGTTGTCGGAAATCGCCCACTCTCCATTGAAATGAATGGGATTGTGCCGCTTTTGTAACTGCTAGTGTGAATGCACCTTTACGCCAAAAGAGTAACCCCTGACGCGATGTAGGAGTATCATAAGCTTTGACGCGTCTCACAGTTCAAACAATTCAAACAAACAGGGCTATACGAACGCATTTGCTTTGCTTCAGAAGGCCTTTATTAACCCTCCGGAGCTGTGCGGATTACGTTTATGATGGATAGATGGACTTTTTGGGGCTTCAAAGTCTCATCCTCCATTCATCACTTCATTCAAAGCTTGGAAGAGCCAGGACATTATTTAATACATCTCCGATTGTATTTGTCTGAAAGAAAATAAATGTCATGTACACATAGGCTTGAGGGAGAGAAAATAATGGGGTAATTTTGGTAAATGGACTGCATTTATATAGTGCTTTCATAGACCACATAGATTACATTTTTGCCTCACATTCACCCATTCCCTCACCCATTCATACACCGACGGCGGTGTCAGCCATCCAGATCGTCAGGAGCAGCTGGGGTTTAGTGTCTTGCTCATGGAGACCTCAACACTTGGTCAGGTGGAACTGGGGATTGAACCACCAACCTTTTGGTTTGTAGACAATCTACATGAACCACTGACCAACTACCGCCCCCCTAATTTCCATGTTTGGGTGAACCATCCTTACAACTATCCTAATAAAATCTCTTCAGTCATTCTAGAATGATTAACTTGATCCAAATAGAGCTATTTAAGTCATCTGGTGCATCTCTATTCATATTGTCTCCTAGCCTGGGTTTACCCATCCCACCTTTGCGCAGTGCGATTTAATTCACGCTTCTAGGCAGCCTGGATTCCATGGACCAGATTTTCACCTCAGTGAGGGGACCAATCACAAAACGACGAGGGAACAGCAAAACGATGACGACGTCGATCAGACACACTGAAGCAGTTTGTTTTATATGGATCAAATATGGCAGCAGACATGAAATTATCTTTCAATGCAGCCTTAGATATTGTTCTAAATAGTTTAGAAGCAGGTTTTGGCGTTAAACCATTTCATAATGATTGGCTATGAGCTATGTACAGTCGCATTTGATAAACACTCGTAGCACCCAATAAACGGCTCTGGGCATTCGTAAACCATGCCTCAAATACAAGAAAGGAACATGTGGTTAACAGACCACGTCTCATTCTGACGTTAGCCAGGCTAATTGTCTCCATGATATCTGTAGTCACATTGGCCAGTCTTAAAGGGGTGATGAACTGAGAAATCAAATTTTCCTTGAGCTTTTGACATCTAAGAGGTCATCATATTATAAGAATATCCTGTAAGTTTCAGAACTGAAAACGTCCTTGTTAGTCCAGTAAAAGCTTTTATTGACACAGCCTCTAAAAACGACTCGTTTGTAAAAGTGGGGAACTATGACGACAAAGAGGATAAAACACCACCCCCACAGAAGATGATCAACGCCTGCTTCACCACGGCAGGTTTAGCCCCGCCCACCGCTTCGCGCATTACACACATAAGTATCATACATGTACATGCTTACCTCGTGATGACAAACTGGATCGCTACCGAGCAATACAGAATATTGTGCAGTGCCTGGTTGTGCAAGACAGTCGCTGCATAAGCTTCCTCTGGATTCCAATAGGACTGCATGGATAAAATTTATTTTTAATGACGTTCCAGCTGATGAGGTAAAACATCGTCGCCTGTTCGCTTCATTTCACTTAGGATTGTTTTGTCAACAAGACTGGATTTGCAGACCGATTAAGAGTAAAGAACGGTGCTGTGCCGTCTATATTGGATCTGACAGGAATATTGTGCAACACACGGACTCTGGGTTGAACATGTATGGGCGAATCCGGTTGCCATTTGACAACATAGGACGTTTTCCCCCACGTACACCGACGGGTGAGTTAAACTCATTATAATATGCAAAACTGTTCTCCACTCGCAGCAGTGGGTGTTTACTTCCAAGTCTTCAGCGCGACACGCCCATAAAAACCGACTGTTTTTCAGGAAGGCTCACAACCAGGGTACAAAATAGCCTATTACTTGTTCATTTTGATGTTTTTGAATGCAAAAACCAAGCGAACGTTATAAGTTGACCTCAGAAAACAATATAATAACATTTAAAAAGCCAGTTCATGACCCCTTTAAAGCAGACATTTTGACATGTCTTTGATTGTTAAAAAAGCCAATGTTTCAATAAGGAAGAAGACAAATCAGTACTTACAAGCTCTGTATGTGCACAGAAAACTGTCTGTCAGAGCATGAGAACTAAACCAAGTTTAGTTGAAGTTCTTGAAGTTCTCTTTCAAGTTTTATTATGCTTGAACGGTGGAAAATCACTTTTAAACACCCAAGGCTTCAAATGGTAACATTTTGAACAATCGCAGGGTTCTCAAGTTTGAGCAAAAGCTTGGAGTGAGATCACACGAGGTTTGGGGAGGAGCCATAATGAAGCCCCGCCCCACCCATCCCCGGCCCCAATTTTATCCATTGTTCATAATTAACCAGAACAAATTAAAATTATAACAATTAGTAAATCTGATAAATGACAGAGCAATTCATCACATCAAATACTCTTTAATGCAGTATTACAAATATAGCTAACCAAAAATATAACAAATTGCTCCAAACAGTTTCAAACAAATCTTTAAAAATTGCATTTTGATTTTTGAATGCGTTTTTTATCTAGACGAATGATTTATTGTGTGGTGGGACATTGAGAACAAATGGACAGATTAGAGTGCACCACCTCTTCCACTGTCTCCTCCTCTAATCTGGCAACCTTTTTAGGGGGCTTACCCTTTGGTGCCCAAAATGACAAAATATCTTTCTGCTTTTTTCCTGACATCTTTGAAAAATACAAATGCAACATTATGACAATTATTAAATATTACCCAGAGCAATCTGCTGTAATACATCCTTAATGTAACTAGAAAGACTATTAATATTACAGTATAATATAATTTAAAATAAAATCAGTAAATCTTGATTCCTTTCCATACCCACTAACATTTCTCTTAGTTTCAGATAACGTAAGATAGCCAAACTGAGCCTGGTTGCAAAGTAGTTGTAGAGTTTTTGACTGCATCAATAATAATGTACGATGGGCTACATATTAAATGTTCTAGCCCAAAAATGTTAGACGAGCTTCTTCCAACTTACCTTCTTCTCCATCACGACACATGTGTTCGCGCGATGTTGTTGGTTACCTAGTAACGAACGTACGGTGGCCGAGGATGTTCCGTCCATTTCCGTGTGTTCGCGCTACTGAATGACATGTCATGTATAGATCAGTGGTGCACGCAGCGCGCATATATGTTGCCTAGTAACGAACGCAATCTGGCGGAGATACGCGCTGGCGGCAGGAAACTTCACTTTGTTTGCCTGCGCCTCGTATACAACGTTAGAAAGCTTTCAGCCAGGACAACTTGGTTGGCATTGCCTTTTCAGCGTGAGAAATACACAGTGTGGCGTGTGAGCGTGTGAACCGGTCGAAATGCATGTCTCACGGCCAATGCGTGAGACTTGAGAACCCTGGTAATGTATACCATTGTCAAATTTCTGCCTGTATATCACCCACCAGCCACCACTAAAGGGAAATAATACTTTCCATGTTCAGTCTTACCTCAAAAGTTTGCAAGACATGTTTGCACACTTCAGTCAGGTTGTTCAGCCCATTGCGCAGAGGTTCAGATGCTGCGATTCCGTCTGCAACATTGATAAGAGAGCTAATGAACACTCTTATATTTACTGAAAACAGACATGTTTATGTACTGCCGACAGTCATGATAAACATCATATTTCAGCCTTTTAACTATTTCTAAGAAAAGGAATGTCAAAATTAAGTTATTGTGTGTGTGTGTGTATATATATACTGTATATATATATACACAAATAGGAAAAATCACATAAGAAAATTTCAGACTCCATGTGCAAGGACGTTAACTGTCAGAGATGACATGCTGAGGTGAATAAAGGAGTTCCCCTTACTTCGCGTTTGTATCCGAAAGTTGATTTTGCTTTCCGATGGGTGCGTGATGCTGTATCCGCAGAATTCCACGTCCTGACTGAGGAAACAAAGTCACACATGATTCACACTAAACACTGCCAAGACAGACAGATACAGAAAACACAATTCTTAATTTCCCGCCAAAATGTTCATCTCAGTGCCTATTTAGCATGTCCACATCACTTGTTTTGACAAAGTTCTCACTGATGTCCCAAAGGCAACCGATGTTGGTGGCTAAACCAAAGTAAAAACATATTATCTTACCTCTTCATGATCATGTATCGGAGCGAGTTGCCCAGTGTGTGATCCTCTTCATGGAGCACAAACGTCACACAACCTTCATCAGCTCCATCTGTCCGGACCTATTCGAGAATAGAAGACTGTTGATATCGACACACACAGCTCTGGAGACTTCCAGACAGAAGTTTGATGCCTAATATCACAAACACACTTGGACTTTTATTATCAAGCTTGAATTATGATGTTTATGAACATTTCTGTATTTGCTATGGAGTGGCTAAATGTTCAGTTTTGTTTTCATAAGGCCCACCATGAGTAAATAAGGCTTTGTTTTCTGGTTGTGATGGTTTCAGCAGCAACATGAGGTTTAATACTCTTCATGATGAAGTTTATGTTGTAAATGGTGAAAGAGACTTTTGGATGCAAATCAGATGACATTAGACATTCCTCTACAGATGAAATGGGTCTGATACTAATCTGATCTGAACAATCTACAAATAATTGAACTAGGGTTGCAACTAATGATTATTTTGATCATGAATAACTATTAATTCACTATTCACTATTTTTTTTTTAGAAATGCAGATGTTTAGATGGCAAGATATTAATAACACCTGTACAATCCAATATATATATATATATATATATATATATATATATATATATACACACATATATGTTAAATAGATGCTATTAATGTGATTATGACTTCTCTGAGTCTGCTTTTTAAAAAATATAAAAGCAAATAAACATTCATATTACTGCCTTAATATTACTACCTAGTGTATATAGTAAATTTACTTTGTATTGACTTGTTTCAAATATCTTCACAGACAAAACACCAAGCTTACACTACTAGTGATACATATTACAGTCTAGCAGTCCACGAATACATCAAGACACAACATTCACAATCATCAAATTCGACCAAAAGCAAGCTGTACTAAAACCAAAAACTTAATGCGTGAATGAAGTTTTAATTACCATCTCCAGCGCGTGTTTCTGCCCGTGCTCAGCCATGCTGCTTCTGTCGTACCGTGACGCGCATGTGCAGTGGTTTCAGCTTGTTCTAGGTGCTCACATATAGATGTACTTAAGAACTGCATTTGACTGCAACAAACGTCGGTGCGCACACGCCATCTTGAAACGGTCAAAATGTCGTCACTCACAATAAGAATCAATGATGCCAGCACAGCACATTACGCAGTTTCTGGTTGGAAACCTCCGAGATTTATATGTGCAGTTGGATACTATCGTAAGAAATGGGATAACCTTTCACATGTGAGAAAGTGTTGGTTTGTGATTTACATGTATTAACTTAATATTATAGTTTTATACTATGGTCTTATCAATGTCGTTTCGTCATCATCTGCTGAAGTATATTGCAGAAACAGATATTCATTCATGCCTATCCAGCGGACCGGTTTTTGAAACGGCTACTGATGAAGATTCTATGTGTATGCACATCTATGATTGTTCAATGTGTTCAGCGAGATCAATCCTGCTAAACGCTTTCTTTATTTCACTCCGCTCGCTCATATTAATATTCGCCAAGGAGGAACACTCAGGTAAGTTGCTGTTGACACTTTGGACACTCTGCATCAGAATGGCTGACACTGAGGAGTCAAACTCTCAATTTTGCACTGTTTGTATATTCGTGGTTCATATGTTTTTTTCCTACTTATTTATGTAGGCTATAGCCAGTGGTGTAGTGGTGCCTAGAGAAGTGGGTATACTCTTAATTTATGCCCCCAATATTTTTTTTTAAGCGACCCAGCAAAGGATGAACGCCCTGTGTTATAAACAGTGACATGTAAGACTACTAGTCTTGCATTAGTATTCAATATGCAAGACTATAGAATAGAGTATAATGAATACAATAGAACACATAGAATCAGTAGTATTCTTGCACATCAGGGCCGCACATATAGTTTTCTAAATACCCAGGTGCCAGATCCCATAAATTGTATTGTAGGGGGTTCGGGGCATGCTCCCCCCCCCCCCCCGCCCCCCCCCCCCCCGAGAAAATTTTGATTTTCCTGATCTCGAAATGGGCATTTTAAGGTGTTTTGATGGCCAAAAAAATTACAACAATAGCTTTAAAAGCATGAAGTTGCCTATTTGATCAGATTCTTAAACATGAGAATCAGTTCATTTTCAGCGACTTTTCTTTCCTAAATTAATCAATGTTTTTGGACTAATCTGTTAATTTAATTAATGGTTCAATTGCTCACTCAAAAAGACAGTCACTTGTCGCCACCCTCTGGCTAAATGATGCAATTGGCGCAAACGCAGACAAGTCAAACACATTCGAAAAAATGTTATACAAATATATTTATACAATAATAATGGCAATATATTTAATAGGGTGCTTGTGTTGTTAAATTGAGCTTGTAATTTCCACTGCCTTTAATCAAACAGATTATTTCTGTCGGTCATTTAAAACGTCCATTGTAAAACAGACGTAAATTTGAGCTACTTGCATCTTATCTCGCACTGTCGTTAACTGAAGTGAAGCGTCGCGTTGGGATTCGCGCTCAGCTCGCGCTTCTATGAACAAAAATCCTGCATTCTTTGATTGGTCTCACGAGCATTTTGATATTGACGAGCAGGTGAGTGCTGAAGCAGATCAGATGAGAAGGTCAGTTATCGTCGCGATGGGAGAATCATTACAGCAACAAATTAGATATTACGGGTACAACTCTAACAGGGTGTTTTTTTTTATTCACGAAATTGGATTAGCAACTAAATGATGCGCATCAGAGGGGATTTAAAAGTGGGTATACGCAATGCCGACTGAAAAGGAAGTGGGTATACGCCGTATACCTGCGTATACCCTGCACTACACCACTGGCTATAGCCTATGTTTATTTTTTTTTACGTCTTTCGTGGTGGAAAAAAAAATGAAGAATTTCATTGTAGGAACTGTTTGAACTTTGAACTTATATGCCTGGTACTGTACCAAACGAAAGATGACCAATCGTGGTGATTTCTGTGGTCGTAGCTCTACATACAGTGAGAGAGATTCAAGGACGGTTGTTGTCACAGTCTTACAAATAAAGATAGCCTGTGCTATTTTCTGATAGGGTCATAAAATTTAACATAATCATTTCAGTCTGTTTGCTTCTACAACCTACGTCAACAACTGACAGCCAATAAAACTGCAACATGAAGTGGTGTATGTTTTTAAAGTCTTTGCAAACCAATATTTATTCAATCATGCAGCTTTATTTTTCACTTGCACAAAACAGTCTGTTACAAAAATTGATTGTAATTTGTATCTGGATTATAACACTCAATGTCTTGAGTGCCCCAAAAATACCCTTTGTCTACTTCAAATTACAATTTCAGATGCAGCTTCTGTGCCACTTCTGCAGTGAAAAGCCCAATAGTGTCTTATTGTTCTAAATTAATTTGTTTAATTAAATTCATTTATTAAGGTTGCTCAATGTAAAGTCTGGCTCCTTAGACAAAAAACCTTTCAGTAAACATTAGTTAGCTCTAGCCACAAGATGGCAGTATAATATAATCCAGACAAACGGCATAAAGTTAACAATAACAAATAATAACTTGGAGGAACCGACAGAAGAACAGAAACTTCCAAAAAAGTAATATTTTGCTCCACCTATGAAAATACTTTCCTTTTAGCTTTTCAGTTGACATGATATTTTTGATTATTTTTCAACCTGTTATACCCCTATAAAAACACTTTTCACCTTTAACTAAATTTGCCATGTACAAAACCAAAACCCATCATAGATTAATGAAAATGTTACATTAGGAAGCAAAATTAATGCAGTACTGGGCTCAAATTATCCTGTCAAAAAATGAGATTAACATACACATATGAAATAACGAAACTGTCCAATTTAACAAGGACCATGTTTATAACTAAAATTTATAATTCATTCACCTCATAACGCATTTAAATATCTGTAAGAAATATTTAGAATTCCCTGTCGATAAATAAAAACACAAACCTCAATCATTCAATCAATCATTAAAAAAACCTTGTCAGATTTGACATTTCAGAATATGACAGTATTCTAATTATTAAAAAAAAAAATCAAAAGTAAGAGAACCTGAGACATTAGAGGATTTAAGTTTTATTTTATGTATAGACAAAATGCCCTGCTGTATTTGGCTGTATTGCAGGTCTGTCAAAATCATTCCAAACACCATCATAGCAATTTCTTCCTGCCTATCGTCTGCCATGTTTATTCTGAAGTCTCGAGAGATTTTTCGACATTTACCGTGTTCGCAGTCTGGACTCTGTTCGTGTGTGTTTTCTTCTTCACATCGCGGCGCACCACATACTATATGAGCAAAACTGTTAAATCTAGGATTTTTTGTCCTCATGTTTCTGGTCTCTCACATTTTGAAAATCTTTTTTTTTTGAGCGTTTCGTCTTGAGAATAGCCCAGAGGAAAGGCGGCGTTACCTCCCCACTCGTTCTCATTTGCTGTGATACCCGTAACAGTGTCTAGCTTGTCTTCTCGCTAGCCCTGTCTCCCAAGAGTGATCTGCACATAGAATCCCCAATAATTGTGTAAAAGCAGGCCAATCAGTCCCCAAAATCATCTGATGCCTAAAATGGGAATTAACCGCACCTTTAACCCTTATGCTGCATTAGGGACATTTTTGGTCTTTTGCAGTTTAATTTATTTGACCATTTTGGCTGTTTTAATGCAAATGGTATGAAATTTGGCAAAATTGTGACTTTTTGGATACATGTAAAAAATGTGATCCCATTTTGCAAAATATGTATAACACACACTGTGTAGATCAAATAGTAACACTCAGCACCATAAAGACCAAAAATGGCCCATTGAAACCCATTAAAACGTCGTTTAAATCTGAGGCTGTCAGTAATACATGAAACATGATTTTTGCACAAACATCCTTTCATTTTGAAGCAAAAGCATTATATTTGCATTATATAGTGTATTCCACCAGATGACGTCACTACATATTTATTCCCTATGGGTGGAAATGCACCTTATTTTAGGCAATAGGCAATGTTTAATAGGTGGCCATTTTTGGTCTCTAACGCGCTAAGTGGGATTTTTTGCAAAGTGGGACTGTGATAATCCAAATCTAAAGTTTTCTCTTTGCATTTAGTTTATTGAAAATAATTGAATTTTTGTGTTTTTTTCCTCTTATACAAATCGATGGTTTCGCAAACAAAACTGGTAATTAAAGGGTTAAAATCCTGAAATTGAATACATGTTTGGTAGTTATGATGAGGACTGATGCTGGTTAAAAGATTTAACTTGGTAAAAGTGGAAAATAATAATAATATATAATATTTTAGGCAATGTTTAATATGTGGCCATTTTTGGTCCTTAATGCACTCAACGGTGTTAAAAATCTAATGCAGCACAAGGGTTAATCTATGCGCTTTCCCCCTGAGTTAGATGCAGGCACTAGAGGGTGATCCACCAGATTCCCGCACACACACCTCACCTTAACCTTGCGGCTCATATCCAATGCCCCTTGTTTGTTGCATCAGGCTTTGATGAATGGAGGTTTGGTTACAGCCTGAATCCACCAAAGCCTGATATGTACCCCCATTAATACTCATTAGGTACTTCCTGGCTTGATCGGGGGTAGCCCACGGGGACCATGACTGGACAGTGACACCTATTTTGGAAGTGACTCGGGTCCCCGCATCTCCAACAGACCAGACTGCCTCTTTCCCGTTGTGACTTTTGAGGGGGCGCGTTGCTTCACAACCTGGGAATAAGGATGGGACGAGAGAGATAAGAAAAAGAGGGAGAGAAACAAGGTTAAAATTGATGAAGTCAGGTCAGCGGGTTCTGAGTCTTTATTTGTTCCTCTCTGTTAAAGAAAAAAACAAAATAATGCCCCAGCGCATTCCACACAACACAGTCCGTGTCAGTAAACTAAAATATGGCCTCAGGTTCTCTCCCATTACCAGGTCTGCAGGTCTCTATTTATCGTGTCTCTCCCCGAGTTGCTGGAATTAGAAACTGGTGTTAAGTGTTTGCACTTGACCCACTTCTCACCGCTCGCTCTCCCCATGCAGACTCCGCTTTAACTAATCCAATAAC